CGCAGCGCACATCAAATATAAAAGATTCTAATAAGCACTGCTGAATTGTGCTCTTTCCCAGATTATTGAGCGCTAAAAAGCAACCGGAGAATCTTTTTGAAAAAAGATAGAAGAGCTGGTGAATTCTGGGAAAATCGCGTTGTCTCAAATTTTGCCCACCGTGACCCTAAAATGAGAAGCTATACTGCTAAGCAGATGTAATCTTCGTAATCAGCAGGTCAGATAATCTCTATGAGCAAGTTTTCAAAGAAATTCGGGTGATTTGATTTTTTCTCGTTCTACGCCCTGAAGCTCGCCGATGGGTTTTGGTCAAAATGTCGATGATCTCGGATTGTAAGGAAACTTCGCTCAAAGAGGTTTCCGAACACGCTGTTTACGATAATCGTCTTTTGCGCGGAGTACAGGGTTTTCTAGCAGAGATATGGTGAGGGTACTTTAGCTAAGCCACGAAAGTTCGTAGATTCGCCTGCATTTTTCGAGCAATTCTCAGGAAATCTGCTTGCTTGCCTTTGCAGGTTAAATTCACTAGAAAGCTTGCTATCTAACGGTGCATGAATCCGGCTTCAATCTGTAGAAGCAGTGGTATCAACGCAGAGTACTATCACGTCTTCATGAGTTTTGCCCAAAATGTAAAGATCGCCTGCTTCGTAGAAAATCCACCTAAGACTGTAAGACACTGTGGTCGCCAACTTTATGTTCACTTCGCTTAAGGAATCTATCCTGCTGTACTGGAAGTAATTAGATAGATCTGAGCTCTAGCAACGAATCTGCTGATATTCACCTAAGGGCTCAGGCACACACAACCACCAGATCCAATACAATAAGGTCTCAAAGATCTTTCGAGTTGAACATAAAATTGGCGACCACAGTGTCTTACAGTCTTAGGTGGAATTTCTACGAAGCAGGCGATCTTTACATTTTGGGCAAAACTCATGAGGACGTAATTTCGTAGGCCCCTAACTCGGCGATTACTACAGATTGAAGCCGTATGCATGCGCCGTTAGATAGCACGCTTTCTAGTGAATTTAACCTGCAAAGGCAAGCAAGCAGATTTCCTGAGAATTGCTCGAAAAATGCAGGCGAATCTACGAACTTTCGTGGCTTAGCTAAAGTACCCTCACCATATCTCTGCTAGAAAACCCTGTACTCCGCGCAAAAGACGATTATCGTAAACAGCGTGTTCGGAAACCTCTTTGAGCGAAGTTTCCTTACAATCCGAGATCATCGACATTTTGACCAAAACCCATCGGCGAGCTTCAGGGCGTAGAACGAGAAAAAATCAAATCACCCGAATTTCTTTGAAAACTTGCTCATAGAGATTATCTGACCTGCTGATTACGAAGATTACATCTGCTTAGCAGTATAGCTTCTCATTTTAGGGTCACGGTGGGCAAAATTTGAGACAACGCGATTTTCCCAGAATTCACCAGCTCTTCCATCTTTTTTCAAAAAGATTCTCCGGTTGCTTTTTAGCGCTCAATAATCTGGGAAAGAGCACAATTCAGCAGTGCTTATTAGAATCTTTTATATTTGATGTGCGCTGCGTAGCGAACTTGTGAGTATACGCGCGCAGAAAATTTTGAAAAAATTGGAAACGGAATTTCAAGGCCATGCTGTACATAGTTAGATTCGACTTGACGAGATGAACACAATGCTGCTTTCGGATTTCGAAAATGTTCATTCTGAAGGAAGTTACGGCTAGAACTTGAAACGGCTTGATTTTTCTAGAGTTTATCAGCTCTTCTATCTTTTTTGAAAGAGAGTCTTCGGCTGTCGTTTAGCGCACAATAATCTAGTGAAAGAGTACTATCGAACGGTGCCCACGGCAGTCTCCTATGTTTAATGCTCGCTGCGTTACCACCATGCGAAGAGGCGTCCGCGTGCAAATTCAAGATTATTGAAAACAAGGTACTGGACACAACCTGTTAACCAAAAGATTCGCCTTGACGAGCTGAATACAATGCTGTTTTCGGATTTCGAATATACTCATCCGAAAAGAAGTTATGGCCCTGCGTAATTTGCGTAATTCACATGAATTCCGCGAAATTCCTGGAATTTCGCGGAATTCCAGGAATATCGCGAAATTCCCGAAATTTCGCGAACCTTCGCGGAATTCCTGGAATTCTGCGACATTCACGGAAATTTTGCACATTCTGTGAGCGGTATTGAAATATAAAGATAAACAATTAACAACTGATTTAAATTTCCTTTTTTTCAAACTTGTTTGCTGTATGGAATAAAGCGATGGAATACATCTTCCAAAACCGCTCAAACTTTATGACAGCAGTTTAAATCTGCTGTGTTGGGCCCGCAAACGGAACAATCTTTGTTGCAAAAATGATGAGCGTTTTTCGAGGCCTTGATTCAGAACAACATTATTCCATCAAACTTTCTTCTTTGGACAAGACTTAGCAATGTACATATTAGGAAGCTTTCATGCTTTATCTGAAAATGTTCATCAGGACAGGTTTCTAGCCTTATTTGCTAGAAAATTTGCAGAATTTCAAACAACCGCACTCGAAACCAGAATTTCATTGCGTTTACTTTTTAGCCATAATTCAAGCACGAATGGAGACATTCTTTTAGGTATTCAGCTACTGTACGTAATAGGAATCGTCTACGTTACGCACACTTTACTATATTCTCAGAAATTATCTAAACACAGATATCGTAAGTTTTTACAAAATTGTTTAGCTCTACGCAAAAAACAAAAAGCTCCATTAATTGGAACTTGAGGCTTACGAAAAAATGTTGAGAAAAATTCGTCAATTTTAGGTTTCAATTTCTTCTTTTCGCAGTCTTCTTTGCTTGAGCCCTTTTCATCTTCTTTTGTACTACTGGCTTGCGGCTAAGATAGGCTACTCACTATACTAGGAAAACTCGAAATTTCTTTTTGAATACTTGAATATCGAATATACTCAAAAATTGAAAATTTCGAATATTCGAATATCGAATATCATTCAACTTTCGAATATCATTCGAATTTCGAATGTTATTCGAAAAATAAGTTGCCTATTATGTTAACATGGCCAAGCAAATAGTTTACAAGTATTGTGGCTCTCCGATATGCGTTGCAGATCATTCGAATGAGTTATTCGAATGATTGAAAGTGCACTATTTACCATTTAAACTATTACCAGTACTGCGCTCATTTTGCATGAAAAGGGTTTTTTTGTAGGCTTTGGATAAAAATGGCTTATAATGCGCAAAAAATGGTCTATTCACACACTGAAATCTGACATGACTACATAATTAGTCGTTGTTGGCGAGCGAGCATCAGAGTTGTAATCAGCATGCTTGAGAAACCTTTCTAAACAAAGTTTAAAGCAAGTTTGGCCTTTCCAGCCAGCTACCTTATAATGACCGTAACCCGGAGAAATGGCGCTACCGTGCACAATAGTATGATATTCATCTTCATGCTAAACATCACCTTAAACGAAGGATATACGGTTTTCATTTTTTGGATTAACTGATGAGGGGGCAAAGTGGCTAGCGGCAGCTGATGGCGGCTGCCGGCTCGGTATGAAGACACTCTCCACCGTCAGTTAGGGCTTTTGAAGTGTTGGCAGCACACGATACCATGACTCCTTATCAAGCGAATGACATGCGGCACAAAATGTTGCTTCGGAAAGGGCAAAAACCCCCTGGAATAACGGGGAGGCGCGAGAACTTCAAGCACTGCACCTCCCAGTAATGTAATGTCCGCTCACCTGCGCGCCCATCCGATCACAGTTCTAGAGATTTGGCCTGCTTGTTCTCCGGAACAAGGGTTGTCGTGATTTTGCAGATTCTGGACTTCATTCGGAATCAGGGACAACATGAGAAGGCTGTAGAACGACAAAAACACGGAAGTCGAGATTGGATGGACGGTGTGCTTGAGGGCGCTTCACATGCATGTCCTCTCTGTTTTTATCCACTTGTACGAACCCAACCCAATGTACTTGGGACCGAATCGAATGAATATTTAATTATTTGAATAAATCATTTGAATGCGAATGATTCGAAAAGTCGAATATTCGAATATCTGAGATTTCGAATAAGTCCAATATTTGAAACTTTTAGTTTTCAAATGTCATGTGGTCATCGACTCGAAGCATTTAATGAACATCGAATATTCGGATATTCGACGACCGTTGAATGATCGAATTCCATAAAAGCACAGCACGTAATCGAAAAGTATTTTTTCAAAGTACAACCACAAGGAGAGTGCATGTGTTTTAAATCCTGGCGTGATAGTCTGTAGTCGTGACGCGCCATTTTCCGTGTCGCGGTATGTAACTGCTATCGATTTTTCGTTAGCCAGGGACGCCAGGGTGATATCTCCAACCTCTTCTCTAACTTTCTAGATTCCATCAAGCGCAGTCTCAGTTGCGAGCCTCCTTCGCCTCAGAACACCTGGTGGCTCCTTGCACCACCATCGATAGTGAAGGCATTTTCTTATCTGCTTTGAAAGCTTCAACAACAATTCGCTAAGTGATGTTTCAGCACTGCCGGAATTATTTACGGAAACAAAAAACGGGGTAGACTGACGGCAAAAAGCGCGAGGTCGCTTCTCTTGATAAATGCGAATAGTAATAAAGATACGAACATGTATCACAGAATATGGTTGTTTAACTTTAATAAACTCTCTTAACTCTTTCTTTGACTTCAATCTAATGCATGCACATGTCCAGAAATGAAGAATACTTCATGTGTTGCAGAGTAGTAATAGTTATATAAAAGGGAACTACAAAGACCCACAATACTTGTAAACTATTTGCTTGGCCATGTTAACGTGTCACATAGACATTAAACTTTTCGAATAATAATCGAAAACCGAATGAAATTCGAAAGTCGAATGATATTCGATATTCGAATGTTCGAAGAAATTTCGATTTCCCGAGTATAATGACTAACATGGGTGAATGAGGCGAAAGATTACTTCGGTTCTTATCTCTTTTAAATCAAAAATCATTTTCGGAAGATAAATCCTGAATTAAATTGAAGCGTATAATGCTGACCTGGGATGAACGAACAGTCTTTATAGGAACGGCAGGAGTATTGAGAAGAGACTGATCAGGCAGGTGGGTTTGAACATCTATAGATCGCTGTTTAGAAGTGGCTCCTGTGGTAATATTAGGTTGTAACAAAATTGATGCAGGTTTTGAATTCCAACCGCAATAAGTCATACACTTCTTATTTCTAACTAGGTAGCAAAGCACTATTCGATAGAGCAAAGCAAGCTCTACGATAAAGCCATCTTGCTTTAACAACAACTCTGATCCACCACGAGTTTCGAGCCAAAAACTAAAAAGATTCAACTGCCCGAAAATTGAGAAAAATCGTAACTTAGTTCATAAAAAACCTACAAAAATTCTAACTTGCTCACGTAAACACTATTCGCATAAGACATCTATATACGCCTTTGCCGTATTTTTTTCTCTGTTAGAAATCAAGTAAACGGAAATTTTCGTGCATTTGCCAAAGTGTTGCTGTGCCGTTCCCACATAAGTAACTGTATACTACAAATCTGTAGAAGTACAAACGTAACTTTTCAGCTCTCTACACGCTTTAGTTCTCGAGAAATTTGAATTTTAGCTTGGACCACTTGACTAGCGAAAACTGTATTCGATATTTTTCGAGAACTAAAGCTTGTAGAGAGCTGGAAATTCACGTTTATACTTCTACAGGTTTGTAGTATACAACTACGTATATGGAAACGGCACAGCACCACTTTGACAAACGCACGAAAATTTCCGTTTTCTTGATTTCTAACAGAGAAAAAAATACGGCAAAGGCGTATATAGATATTTTATGTGATTAGTGTTTACGTGAGCAAGTTAGAATTTTTGTAGGTTTTTATGAACTGAGTTACGATTCTTCTCAATTTTTCGGACAGTTGAATCTTTTTAGCTTTTGGCTCGAAACTCGTGGTAGATCAGAGTTGTTGCTGAAGCAAGATAGCCCTCTTTTAGAGCTTGCTTTGCTCTATCGAATGGTTTTTTGCATCCTAGTTAGAAATGAGAAGTGTATGACTTATTGCGGTTGGAATTCAAAACCTGCATTAATTTTGTTACAACCTAATATAATGCAAACTTAGAAAGTCCTTACCGTTTGACGGAGTTGTGACAGCATCTGCCAGCGGGACGAAGACAAAGAGCAGGAACAGCATTTTGACACTACTACTTAATTGAATTCGTCGTGTACGTAAACAAATTTGACTAGAATTCACCTACGCGTACGTACTTTGTAAAAATAAACAACTTTTACATCACTTATCCAAGCATCACAGACATAGCGGAAGGGAAGGGGGGGGGGGGGAGGGGTGAGTGATCTGTAAAGAAACGGGCGTTGGAAAACAGTACTCTTATGCTCTGAGTTTCGTTAGCAACCTTACGCCAAAGACATTCCAAAAATCCTGTTCGTAAGAAGGCTATACTACATAACATCGGATGTCATGTTTTCCAAAATCAGCTTTACTTTAGAATCAACATAAGGCCTCGGGCATACTTCACGTAATTTCACCGCCACGCAATCTGGCAGATCAACAAATCTTTTCAAATCCAACACTGGCAAGTTACCAATGCAGAGCGTGTATCTCTTTTTCTAAATCGGTAGAATGCTCTATTTTTTGTACATTGCGAAGCTCTTACCTTGAGTTATATCACGTCGCAACTAAAATCGCTCTCAGTATGGAGGCCTAAGCGAAGCAAAAGGTGCGCAATTTCGGTAGGGGGCAGTTTTATTCGTGTGCTTGTGCTGGTACTGCTACGGTAAAGTGCATGCAGTAAAGAGAGTGACTGTGGCCATAGTATGTTTAGAGGTTCTGCCCTGATGCCACCGAAATCTAGAATGTGTGACTTTTGTCCAATGCCTTTTAAACCTGCGGCTCAATGAGATCGACCGCCATCGATTTTCTGGTGTTGGGATATAGGCTCTTCAAGTCCAAAGTTACCTCAGTCCCACTTTCAAACCCATGTGCTCAACTCTGCTCTGAATTGCCGGCACAAATGGGGAGAACGTGGAACTTTTTGTATCAAAAATATTTTGTAAAATATTCAACCTCCTCAAGATCTAGCAGAGGTCTATTTTGCCAAATCTTTGTCTATTCTTTCGACACACTCGAGTTCAGTCAATGTGCTGATAAAAACGCTTAGAAGTCGAAGTAGCCAATTCAAACCATTTGCATACTATTGGATGCAGGATAAAACACCGGCATCAAATCTGGATTCCGTATCTGTTGAGCTCATTTGTGGACGAGATTATGAGCGGTTTCATTGCAAGAAAATCATAGCAAGTTGCGAATATCGCCATCTCGCTTCAGATAAGGGCGATAAAAGTGATCTAGCTGCATTTTTGCCCAGCATCTAAAGGCAGTGGGTCGGCTGATCCTCGTTCTGTGGTTTTTTTTCGCTTACGTGGGGTAGTAAGACGCGCTGATTCCGAAAATCCATTTTTAAGAGCGCGAATGGACGAAAACCGGCATTTTACAAAATCTCTTGTTTTGAATCCGACAAGTGGAACGCTTCCCGCCATGTTTATACCATTGCGGCATGCCGACTCTGATGGCGTGAAGGATATCACAAGCTCGTCCGAGCGCGTGTAAGAATGATTTGCGCGCAAGGGTTCAGCGACAATTTTCTAGGCAAAGGCAGCATGCTGGGCGCTCGGATCCGCTCCGTTCTCTTGTTTGGGGTTCAAGCAACATTCCTTATAAATGTTTCCAATATTTCCAATATTTATTTCTATCTCCAATTTGTTCGATTTTGGCGAGCCACTGCCTTTAAGGCGAACATGACTGTGTACAGCCAAATCTGCCTTTATGCACAGGATTTTTCGCGATGCATTGTTTCATCATAACTTTTTGTACAAAGATGTTCAACAGTCATCGAAGACAGATCTAGAATCAGCGTTCTATGCTCCATACAAAGTACGCATCAGCTTGTGTGGACTTTCATTACGATTTCTAACCATTCCCATATAAGTAAAGCGTTGTGCATGTAACCTGCGGACTACGTGAAGGATTTTTTCGCATTTTCAGCCGTGCAGACTGCTGAAAGGGGATCAGAATTCGATTAAGGGGCGATTGGCAACAGTGGCGTACCCAGATTTCCGTTCCGGGAGAAACAAAACTTTTTAGAAGGCACGTGGATTAGCCCGCACACCAAAAAATTATTTGGGATACTGTAAGTTTCAAAAGTCTTGCTACCCATTCCCGGAGAGGGGGGGGGGGGCTTCCTCGGTACGCCACTGATTGGCACTAATTGGGAAATGGGTGCGATTTCTGCCCACTGAACTTCAACGGTCGACCGCTTCCACAACCAAAGTGTGCTAATCTCCCATCCCATCCTTTCAGCAATCTAAAAAAGGGAGTTTTGTTTTGGAAACTGCAAAACGAAGTCACTAGGATCAGCAAGTCCGGAAGGTGCAATGACTAAAAAACTTAAGAGATTTCCTTTTTTGGGAGCAACTTACACCCCAACTTAGAGGTCTTGAGCTTTTGGCAGCATACGATAGTAGGGTCCCCCTCAAGCCAATGCCCAGATCGCGGCGCATATGTCGCCTTAGCAGGGACATTGCTCCGGAAGATTGATTAGGAGGACAACCAGGCAGCAACAACCTTCCAGCAGTGTCCACCCATACATGCTCGCCCATCTAAAGGCCTTTCCGGAGATCCGCCCCGCGGGTTCTCAGGAAGGCGTTCCCCGCGTTGCGAAAACTCAGACAGTTCTCGGGGATATTCATTACTTCATATTGGAGTCAGGGACATGTATATACAAAGGCCTCAGAACGACAAAAACATGGGAGTCGGGATTTTGGGTGGACGATGCTTTTGAGTGAAGGATAACGTTCAGTGGCAATTTGTGTGCCCCAAAATGGCCAGAAAAAGTGATGTTGATTTGCTATAGCAGAGAATTTGAATGTCAGCCATGAAATAAAAATTTGACAAGTTCTTTTTGAGAAAACTTAGCCCCGCTCACATCATCGTCTTGTCTAGAGTGTGAGATCAGCTAATCTTAGTGATTTTACTATCATAGTCAACTATTCAATCTAACACACCGTTTATGATCAATCTCACTAATTGTCTGACTCCATCAGTCATAACGTAAAAGCGCGATCTTTTTATTAGATGAAGACACTATTTTTGAGTAGTTCATTTTACTCGGCGCATATAAAAAAGCATGGGTGAACTTTGATGTGGATGAACTTAAAGGCAGTGGCTCGGCAAATCTCAATGTTGTCTAATTTGCGCTTACCTGGGATTAATGAATACGCTAACCCCGAAAATCCACTTTTGAAAGCTTCAAAACGGAGAAAATAAGCGTTTTCTAATGCACTTCCCTTTGGAGGTGGGCGAGTGGAGCAAGGCCGATGACGCTAAATCGTTACAGGACTTAATGGTTATAGCATTGCGGCGGGCAGCCTCCAATGGTGTCAAGGAAATTGCCAACTTGTAGAGATGCGTGTAAGAATGGCCTGCGCGTGTAAGTCTGAGAGCAATTATCTCGGCGGGAAATCTCATGTTTGCAACCGGCATTGCACTGTTTTCATACTTGGGCGATAAAGAACCTACCGCGTTAAAATCCTTAATTGCCAATCCACTGCCTTTAACACGTCTACCGACACTAAACCTGCTATAAATGTATGAGCTGTTTTCCTCAGCATCGCTCGCGGAAAGTTGCGAGATGATGCTCGCTAAACACATTCTATGAATAATTGATATGAGATGAAAATATAGCAGCAGCAAAAGCCATGTTTCTTTCCAGGAGACTTTGAAAAAAGAAATGCTTTGTCAAGTGAAAGCTTTGTGTATATCCACAATTTTGGCGCTTTGTCCATGCTTTTTGAGGTTTTAAATTGAATTAAAAGAAAAATTGAAAGAAAGCTTGGTTGTTTCAGTTGACACAAGGTTAGTACCTGCTGTATCCAGTTCATATCAGCCCTTGGAACCGAAAGAATTACGGCAATTTCTGGGGTGGATCACAAATTTGCAGCACTGTATTCGAGTACGAAGGCTCGCCTGCGGTCAAGTTTTGGGTGAGTGCGACTCACTATAGTCATCTTATCACCCTGTCAACAGCAGGGGTGCGATAGGTGGAGCCGGGCCCCCCAAAAGTGAAGGTGGTAGTGCCGGACACTCACCTCTCAAAAACGTTGACCGGGGGGGGGGGGGGGAGGGGGTCACAGCTACCACTGGCCAGCAAAAGTGAAGGTGGTAATGCCGGACACCCACCTCTCAAAAATGTTGACCGGTAGAGGGGGGGGGGGGTAGAGAGGGAGAGCACAGGACGGACTTTGGGTTTGGGTTTTTTGGGTTTTTTTTCGGACTTTTAGGTTTTGATTTTTTTGCTGAAACTGAAAAAAAAGGAAATTAAGCAAAACGAACGCAAAAGAAAGTATTGAAAGCACTATGTAGTTTACTTTTAGGAAGTCTCCGTCGCCCACTGCGTACACCTGGAGGCCATCACCGACATGGACGTATATACGCCTCAGCACTTTATACGATAGAGCAAAGCTTCATGATGACTTCGGATAACTGAAGAGCTCTAACCCAACGGTCCTCTTTAGGGCCACAAATACGATGAGTACAACTGCATAAATGTTTTGAATAAACGTGTTAATATAGCGTACTTGTGAGTGATACTCAGCTAGACCTTATGTGTTTTATTGAGTACATCTTGTTCTGACGTACTGCGAAGGAAGTGTGTCGATCCAGGCAGTAACAGCCGAGAACCAGAACTTCGAATGATAAAATAATGAAAAATCATGCGATGATTCCATTGTTATAAATCTGCTGGCTGAAGACGTCAATTGCGACTTCAGGTTAGATTCTCCTCTCCAAGAGCCTTCAGATGATATATAGTATGTGGGGGATTATATGTTTCTTGCGGCTCTAATTTGGAGTGGAGTACTTCTCTTCACTAATTCTCCACCCCACCCATTTCAATGTATTGGCGGGAATCCGCCAGTGGAGAAGTAGTGAAGAGAAGTACTCCACCCCCGGGCACATGCCGTGGGAGGCATGAATCCCCTACGAGTTATATATCATCTGAAAGCTCTTGATGAGGAGAATCTAATCTATAAAGTCGCAACATGATTCATGTAGTTATGAGCTGGAAAACGGTTTTTTACCTGCTTTTTTAAGAGTCTGGATCTTGGCGATGTATCATGGATCGGTACATCTAAGACATATTTTGATAGGACAAACCTCATCCTACAAAACCTAAAAGTCGCAACATCGAACACCTTCAAAGTCCGGATTTATAAGAGTTTAATTGTCAGTTGTCACTAAGCAACCTAAAATCGCGTGATTTTTGGTTTCATTTCAAAATTCTCGTTCTCGGCGGCCACTCCTCAAATCAAACTGATTTTTTCACTGTCTGGTAGAAGAACGCTTACCCTTCAAACCTATGAAGTCGTAGCTGATGTCTTCAACCAGCAAACTTATAACAATGGAATCATCGCATGATTTTCCATTATTTTATCATTCGAAATTCTGGTTGTCGGCGGTTACTGCCTGGATCGACCTACTTTCTTCGCAGTACGTCATAACAAAATGTACTTGATAAAACACATAAAGTCTAGCTGAGTATCACTCACAAATACATTTCATTAACACGTTTACTTACAATATTTATGCAGTTGTACTCATCGTATTTGTGGCCCTAAAGAGGACCGTTGGGTTAGAGCTCTTCAGTTATCCGAAGTCATCATGAAGCTTTGCTCTATCGTAAGTGCTGAGGCGTATATACGTCCATGTCGGTGATGGCCTCCAGTGGCCGTATTCATCAACGAACCCCGAGGGTTAAATTAACCGTGGAGGGTTAATTTAACCCTGGAAAGCGTTAAACCCGTATTCATGAAACACAGGGTAGGCTTAACCCCTGAGGGTTAAATCTAACCTTGAGGGTTAATTTACCCCGAAAGCGACTAACCCGTATTCATCAACGAATAGTGAGGGTTAAACCAACCCTGGAGGGTTGAACTTACGTGATTCATCAGGGGTAATTTAACCCTAGCTCGGAGCAAGGTTAACTCTACCCTGACACTTCATGCAAACATTTACTCGCATCTAATAGTTTTATGAAAAACGATCAACGACTATTGCAGTATTCAGTATTAGATTGTTGTTGTAGTATTCAGTTTCGACTTCGTTTTATGTTCAAATTCGAAGTACATGAAACACTGAGTTCGCGAGAAAGAATTCTAGCTTTGATGACAAGTGAATGCGACGAGGAATAATGGTTGCGCATTCCACTCTGACAAGTGCCAAAACAGAAGAACCACTTTATGATAACACGCATTGACCCCTAAAAGAGTAGCACAAGCCCGGTATAAAACGAACTGCGCAAAAGTAGAACTTACACGGCGCAACTGCACACATGAAAATAAACTTACGCTGTAAGATTGGATGCTGCACAAATATGCTAGAGATGTATTATAAAAACTAGTGATAGAAGCTTATTCGTTGATCATACTACTGTGACAGTGAAAGAATAGAAGTATAAAGTGAATTTAGCACGTACTTAGGCATTCTGTGATGTGAGTTTGCACAGCGCACGCGTAAGTGACGCCTTTATTCCCAGGGTTAGTTTACCTCAGGGTTCATTGGCCGTATTCATCAACCATAGGGTTCGTTGATGAATACGGCCACAGTTCGTTGATCGATACGGGTGGATTGCGTTCGGTAGCAAACCCTATCCTATGGTTGTTGAATACGGGCAATGAACCCTGAGGGTTAAATTAATCCTGGGGGTAAATTTAACCCTCAGGGTTCGTTAATGAATACGGCCACAGGTGCTCGGAGTGGGCGACGAAGACTTCCTAAAAGTAAACTACATAGAAGATGCTCCCAATACTTTCTTTTGCGTTCGTTTTGCTTGATTTCTTTTTTTCACTTTCAGCAAAATAAAATCAAAACCCAAAAGTAAAGGTGGTCACCCTGTACCAGCTCAAAAGTGAAGATAGGCGGAGAATCGGCTCCGACTATCGCACCTCTGGTCACCAGTCAGGGCTTTGAGATGGAAATAGAAATTTTTCAAAACGAAGTCTCCGTTTACCTTGAAAAAATTACGACTCTACAATAAAATGCCTGTAGAGAGAAAATATGAAAGGCAGGAGAAAAAGAAAGGTAAACAGAACGATACGCAAACGAAGGCTTGAAGACAGCACGCAGAGCTGGTGTTGTTTGCGATTCTAGTTGGCAGCTGAACTTGAAGCAGGATTGCCACCACTACTTTAGAATTCTGAGGCTTTGGCTACCCGGACAAATTAGTCTTCTTGCGAATACTCAGCATTGGTGTTTTTTCTGTACTTTGCAGACATGCCTTGTGTTTATCTTGGACACTTTCGGATTACAAATCCTGTACTTAAGGCATACCGAACCACAAAGTTATTGCTTTGCGTAGAATGGAATTAGGTAATGTCGACACATGAGACGTCTACAAAGATAAATGGATGAGTTAAGAGTAAAGGGCGGGAATTTGAAGCGGGAAAGTGTTGAAGGAGTGAGCCTATATGTGAATTATGCACAATGGTTTGGCGAAGTTCTTTTTCGAGGGGAGGAGTATGGACAACAAACTACCTTTGTTTGACCGTGGAGTTCCAACTTTCCAAAGAACTCAAAAGATCCCGAAGAAGTTGATATGGTTAATCTGAGTTACTCAAGCTCCGTTGTCATTCAGGAAAATTTTCAGCGACCCTGCAAAAACGATATCCGTCATTTGCTACCGAAAAGATTTGCGTGCTTGTGTGCCACCTGTGCCAAGCCCTGCACTAACTTTATGTGTAATTGTTAATTCTTCAATCCTAGTTTTGACTGTATGGCCGCGTTACTGATAGTAAGAAAGAAAAGCTTTTTCTGATATTGTCATGCGAGATCAGAGCTTATAGTGAATTCCCATTCATCCACACCTAGGATAGTTAGGATAGTCATTTGAACAGTCGGAAGACAATTTGGCCAAGTACCATGGACAGTTCAATTTTATGTAACTTAGTTCGAGGTAGATCCTAGGATGAACCAAAGAAGGTGGCGTGGAAACGAAGAGGACCGACAGAATTGTCCCAAGTTGCTCGTGAGTAACCTACGGGACAATTCTAGATGACGTTTTCTTGCGGTGCAAAACTTACAAATCTCAGGGTCTAAATAGGCGAGGATCGATGAGCACTTGATTAGGCGACGAAAAAAACAGGTTTGTCAGAGGGCGCGGATCGCCGACCTACCGATCTTTAGTGGCGGGAAAAAAAGCCCGCTTTGATCCCTTCGGCAAGGATAAATACCGGGAGTCAGGGCGAGGTTTCAGACTGCGCTGAGGAAGCGCTAGCGGGAGCTAAAACCGTCGAAGAGAGGCGGATCTTCCACTTAGATAGAATTTATCCAGTCAGCATGCCGAAGAGGAAGAGGGTTAAGGCCCGTTGTGTCGTTGTTGAGCCTTGTTCAAGTAACACATTTTTGTTTTTGTTGTTCGCTGCCGTTTTCTGAGATAAATTATTAGTCGTTCGATCCGTGTGGTCTATCAATCCGGTTGAAACCGTTATACCACTAGACCACCCCCGGTTACAGGTTCTTCTTTTTTTGCAGATTTCCCTTGAGTTCAAATCTGCACTAAACAAGAATTTTTTTATTTATTTCATTCTGTTTGCGTTCCATTTGCATTTTGTTTGCGTTTTTTTGCTATTTTTTGAATTACGTCTTTGTCAAAATATCATAATCTTGTTTCATCCAATTTTTTACTAGGCGGAATTCCTAACAGCGGTCACCATCGATTTTTTTGGGCTGTTATCGAATGTTGCCCGGCGATGGCGCAAAAATCTGCCATTAGCCATCCTCAAACCATTGCCCTCCGCGCAGATTTCCATTCACTTAGCCGTTCGCCCACCCTGCCCTAGGGACTTTGTTTTGAGAACGCCCAAGATTTTGATGTTTAGAAAATAATCAGAGGAAATAGAAATTACCTTTCCCAATAGCTCATGGGATGCCGGATTGAGGTGTACCACGTCAACGTAGGCCGCACCCAACCGAGTTGCGCTAAACAAAGGCTTATTGCGAACCCAGATAAACCTTGTCTTTGCCTACACTAAAGGATACGATGTTAATCGGACAGATAATTTTGAGTGTCGACTTACTTTGATAGTGTGATTACAAACTATTCCAACGTTCAAGGCATAAACCGTACGATGCACTTGATCTGCTTGATCCACTTCGTCTTCGTTACTGGTGTGATCAGTGAGCTGAAGTGGATGAGGCGTTCAAGTGAATTGAATGAACATAATCTCCATAGGTGCGATAGGGAGATCATGGTCCCCTCCAGGTGAAGAGGGTTTTGGCTATTTACAATCTAGAAAATTGAAGGGGCAACTGGGGTTTGAAGTGCATGCTGATGTAAGCTTGCATGCTGAGGGGAACCGGAGTGTGCAAAGAGGGAAAAAACTGGTACAAAAGTGCAATATGAAGAATTTTTCAACGCTTTGATTTTAAAAGGTCATCGAACAGATGATTCAGAAAAGCTGTATGTCCCGTCAACAGACATATTATCCAGTTTAAAATATGTAGAATCGTTCTTTTCTCCATCTTTGAAATTTTTTTCATCTAGCTATAGCATCAGCTAAGTTTATGCGATCAATTACTTTATTTGGAAGAAAATAGTTAAAAAAAGCATAAACGTACGGCAAAGTCTTGCTTTGTAACACTTTTAGCCAATTAGGTGAATTCCTTTATTTTTTATTAGAAATTTCCTTACGAAAACACGCGCTTTTAAGGTTAAATGCCATAGATTTCCGATATTTTCGAGTAGAGGGCGCTAAGAAAAAAGGGATGACCTATGTCAAATTCCTGTTTCTAACGGTATGTAGATTGTTAGAAAAAATTGTGATCTTCAAAAATGGGGTGGAGATATTTGCTATTGACCTGCTTCACTCCGCCTCTCAATGCCTGGTCTTACATGGGGCCGGAACAAGACTTTTTTCGGGGCGAAGGTTTTATGCACCAGCAGTTTATATACCCTTTGATAGCTAAGCACTAAGAATCGACATAGACTTTCCTTTTCTATAGCTATTCTGCGAAGCGGGATACGAGCAATTTTATCAAGCTACATTATCAGCTAATTTTGTAAACTATATCATGGTTTAATTTCGAAACGAGAAGGTACATTTAGAGGCTTCACATGTGTTTGGAAAGCTCTGAAAGTAGGAAACCTAATTGCTCCCTTATTCTCTATCACGCCCTTCAAGAAGAGAATAATTCGATTTTTCTCAATGAATATGCATCCATCATTGAGCAGACCAGACTCTCTCTTGCATGATTCTTTTCTTCAACAATGTATATCCACTGAACGATATTGCTTTTTTAGAGAATCAGACACGCTTGATTTTGTGAATTTATTTCGTTATCAAACTAAACCACTATGAGTAAAACCGGAGGTTTCAAACTTGCGTTTTTCTCAGCAATCACTGAGAAGTGCATGTTCTGCACTGGCTAAAAGGTGAGCACCTGACAGACCCAAACAAAATGTGCACCATTTATCATAGGTTTTATTCTGCCGTTAAGCCTTGACCCTAGTCTCTCAAACTCAGGTGAAGGGGGTCATCCAAATGCAGGCCCAAAAATGAAGGAGGCAGAGAAATTGCTCTAACTGTCGCAGCTATACGCATCGGCCATTTTATTTATCTGACGAACGCGAAGTGGATCACGTAGATTAAGTGGACGAGTGGATTAAGTATGGCGCGTTTAAAAAAGAAAATGCGCAGTTTACTGACTAAAAGCTACCACTTATACAAAGAGAGCACTATCTTATAAAGTGCACGTTGGATCTCACCAAGGAAAATCAAAGTTTGCCAGACTGCAAGCCATGCGGAGTGAAGCAGCTTATACCACAAGTTACTTCAAAAGCCACATAAACAAGCACGTGATGTAGAAGTTGTCCACAGGCCGAAGACAGACACTTAAAAATTTGTTTTCAAAAGTGTAATAAAATGATAGAGAGGGGAGGTACGTGCATTTGCTAAACTCGCATCAAGGTCCAAGTCGTATAATATTTTTGCCCCCCCCCCCCCGCTTTTTGCTCAAGCACGTAAGGAACATATTCATGCATAAGACTTTAAATTTTAGGTCAGCGTATTGTAATAGCAAGCTTTAGTAGTAGTGGAATCACACGACGCGACAATGAGACCTAGGCAATTGACGGAATTCGCCAAAACCTTGTACATATATCATAAGCTATCTGTAAAAATGTACACCCTGCTATTCAAAACTTGCATAATGATTAGATTTTCGGCCTTGGTCGGCTATATTCAAATTTCATATTGTGAATGTTGATTTGATTATGTTTCCTTTGGGAAATTGCTTTCATCTTCAATGCTCATGTATTTCATAAGAGCATTTAAATCTGTTACATTATTCTGCTGGTTAGAATATGATTTTGGTGGTCTATGACGGTTTCCAGAATTACGGAAGAATCTCTTGTGGATGTACAATGTTGGACTGGCTAGCTCAAACATAATTAAATGTACAGTTCTGTTTGAGCACAAATTATTTTGTGAAAATGATATGATGCAGGAAAAAGTGGGTACCCAGACATCATGCTCTAAAGGCAATTTGAAGTTAGATATGAGACTGTGAAAGCTACTGCGAGAGGAAGAAGCACTATTACTTGAGCGGACGCGAACGCGACGCGTGCGTATATTTAGCATTGTGAAGCCTACGACTCATGCGTGCGGCCATAAAGCCGCGTTTGCGCTTGTTGCACCTCCTGCAGTATCTTATAGGATTAGTATGCACATATGATTATATTTATACAATTTGCATGGACGTGGATGTCCTCAAGCCATCTGAGGCTGCAAATATTATTAATAACTTGAAATATTACCTATCTCTTGTATTTTTTTATCACTAAATAGCTCTTACAAATGTACCTTGTGCCTTGAATGAGCTCCTCAATGTTAATAGCACTTACTACATTATTATAGCACTTTGAAAAGGCTTGCTGGGAAGACGACTCAAAATTCAATTTAAAGGAGTTTATTATGAGCTGTGATCATATGCCTTTACTTTGAGGCACTTTCTCAATGCAAAGTCTACCCTAAGAAGAGGCAAGGTTAGAAGGATATTTACAAAGGCTCCATGTTTTACAAGCCCTTTCACATGAATTATTCCGTGACGCAACTATAATAGCTGAGCAGTTTTACGCAACTGAAATTAGCGAGGATTTCAGATGTGCAGTGAACACGTGGTACAAAACTTTTGTTAATGCTCCTCAATTTCACGTTATCAAACTCCTCTGAATCTGATCCTACTCCATCGAAGGATGTATAGAAGTCGTATACGGGTCGTATACAGGTCGTATACATACGTTGCAATTCTCAAACATCTAGAAATTGAATGCTGCTTTCTTAACTATGCAACGCATAATGGCTCTTGATTACGGAAAAAAATTTAAAGATTTGTTACCCAGTAGAAGAAATTTCTTCACCTTTACATTTTCTGTTACTTATACATTCGATTATTAGATTACAAATTATATCACAATTCCGCTCAGTTCTCAGCTGTTCCGCAAATCATTTTTTCAAAAGTGCTGACATCTTGCAATGAGTGATTAAATGTATTTTATACTACAGTTTGTGTTTCTATGTCTTTCGATTGTTGAATTGTTTAGAACCCAATTATGCAGCACTGTCGAACTTTGCTCTCCATCTTAACTGTGATTTTTATCTGATACAAGCATGACAATTTATTGTCAATAACCCAAGATTTTCTAGGAAAACCATGGACATGAAAGTAAATGACCAAAAACCTAAAAAAAACGACGTTTACAGCTAGGTATATACGCGAATTGCAATTTCATCTATGATCTGGCTATTCACCAGATTTTCACAATACTGCGAATTTCATGCATAGATACATACTTCATTTGATGCAAGAATGCCGATATTGGCTCAAATGAAGTGCGCATGATGGACGCACAGTCGTACCACTCTAACTCACGTGGCCACCCTAATCTCCACGCGAGTTAGAGTGGTACGACCGAAGACCTTCATATGAGCTCGGTCAAAGCATACGGAATTACTTTCGGAACAACCCGATATAAGCGTCAGAAACTCCACAAACATCATTCACTTTCTCAGTCACCATGTATTAGGGTGAACGGTAAAAAATGGGACAGCTTGATTTTCATTACATTTTACAATTTTTTGTTTCTGGCAGCAGCAAGTAAGCAGCAACTTAAACGTCGCTCACATGGGCGACCTTCGCTTATTATTCTGACAACGCGTTAACGCTCCTCTTCCACTACCCTACACGTGGCGCCGTGAAGAACTCGAACAGGGTTTTTTGGACAATCCCTCAATCTTGCGCTGTTATACCGTAAAGTCGTAAAGCAAATGGCATACCATTCGAAAGAGCTCTTCATGCTCTTTCGATTGATTCGTTAAATGCATGACATTTCCTTTCAATTTTAGAAAAAAAATCGAAAAAACCTGAAAAATAGCTATTTTTGGCGCAACAAAAGACCAAAAAATCATGTTTTGCCCTATATTTTCCGAAGATAGATAAAATCTGAAGTAAACTGCATATGGATGGATAGAGCGTAAAAAGCTCTATCAGATGGTACCTAGAAATCGTGCGTTTACCTGCAAAGAAGTGAATAACGCGTATCTTTGTTCTCGAAGCTGTTAATGGGCATATCTCCTGACATTGAGAGTTAAAGCCACCAAGCCGTCGAGGGTTTGGTGACTGTCCCACCACTCACTCCAGCAGTGGTACTTTGGGTGGTCTCACATGTTTCACTGCGCCGATACTGCTCAAACTTCATAATTTTTCGAAGTAACTAAGTTTGCATTTTAGCAATTATAAAAATTATCAATTATTTAAATGACCTTATATAGGTGCTATCTGAAAGAGAATAATTTATTCTAATATCCATCAAAATTGGAAAGTTCAGTCACTTTTATTCCTTGAGAATTCTCAGTGAACATGCATCCATCATTGAGCAGACTAAGCAGACTTTCTACTTTTGCATATTTCTTCTCTTCACAATGTATTAGGTTGTCCGGAAATTAATGCCCGTTTTAAATTTCAACCGCAATAGGTCATACACTTCTCACTTCTGAATATGTTGCAAAGTACCATTCGATAGAGCAAAGCAAGCTCTACAAGATGGCCATTTTAATTTGCAACAGCTCTCATCCACCTCGAGTTTCGAGCCAAAAACTAAAAAGACTCAGCAACCCGAAAAATCGAAAAAAATCGTAACTAGTTCATAAAACTCCTACAAAAATTCTTACTTGCTCACGTAAACACTATCCACATAAAACATCTATATACGCCTTTGCCGCATTTTTTTCGCTGTTAGAAACCGAGAAAACAGAATTTTTCGTGTATATCCCAAAGTGATGCTGTGCCGTCCCCACATAGGTAGTTGTATACCACAAGCCTGTAGAAGTACAGACTTAATTTTTCAGCTCTCTACAAGCTTTAGCTCTCGAGTAGTACCGAATATAGCTTTCCCTAATTAGGTGGTCCAAGCTAAAATTCAAATTTCTCGATAAGTAAAGTTTGTAAAGAGCTGAGAATTTATATTTGTACTTCTACAGGCTTGTAGTATACAACTACCTATGTGGGGACGGCACAGCATCACTCTGGCATATGCACGAAAATTTCTGTTTTCTTGGTTTCTAACAGAGAAAAAAATACGGCAAAGGCGTATATAGATGTTTTATGTGGATAGTGTTTACGTGAGCAAGTAAGAATTTTTGTAGGATTTTTATGAACTGAGTTACGATTTTTTTTCGATTTTTCGGGCTGCTAAGTCTTTTTAGTTTTTGGCTCGAAACTGGCGGTGGATGAGAGCTGTTGCAAATTAAAGTGGTCATCTTGTAGAGCTTGCTTTGCTCTATCGAATGGTACTTTGCAACCTATTTAGAAGTGAGAAGTGTATGACTTATTGCGGTTGAAATTCAAAACGGGCATTAATTTCCGGACAACCTAATATATCCACTGAACAATGTTGCTTTTTTAATGATTCGAACACTTCTAGTTTTTATTATTTCGCTATCAAACTAAACCACTTTGAGTGAGGCAGGAGATCCCAATTTGCGTTTTTCTCAGCAAATGCTGTGAAAGTGCATGTCCTGCACTGGCTAAAAGAAGAGCAGCTGACAAACCCAAACAAAATGTGTACGATTTAGCACAAGTTTTTATTCTGCCGTTAAGCCTTGGCCCTAGGCCTCTCAACCTTAGGTGAAGAGGAGCATCTAAATGCAGGCCCAAAAGTGAAGGGGGGGGGGGCAGACAAATTGCTCCACCTGTCGCGCCTACACGCTTTGCTATTGGTCATAACATTTATTTGACCGACAGCGGAGTGTATCACGTAGATTAAGTGGACGAGTGGATCAAGTATGGCACGTTCAAAGAAGAAAATACGCAGTTCACTGACTTAAAGCTTCCACTTATGCAAAGGGTGCATTATCTTATAAAGTTCACGTTGGACAGACCCACCAAGAAAAGCCAAAGTTTGACAGACTGCAAGCCATGCGGAGTGAAGCAGCTTATGACTATACCATAAGTTACTTCAAAAGCCCATATTTGAGCACGTGACGTAGAAGTTGTCCACACGTTGAGAACATAGACTTAGAATTTTTTTCAAAGGTGTGATAAAATGATATAGAGGGGATGTATGTGCATTTCCGCCATTTGCTAAAGGGTGTCCCAAAAGTCTTGTAGCTTAAGGTTGCACTGCTTTAACTCAACAATCACTGGTGATTTTGATAACAAATTCATGCCACAGTATGCTCCGTTCATTTTTTTTTGAAACACATTCTTAAGGGTCAAAAATGATCTTTATGTTAACGGAAGAAATCAAAACTATCAAATCATTTCTACCTCGAAACGCAAAAAGCTGTTTCTAGAAATTTGAAATTCATTCCGCTACTGCAATGGCACATTTCGGTGCAAATTCCAAATCCACAATATAGAGGAGGTTTTGCACTACTAACGCTAAGTGGCTGAAAAAATCTTCAAAAATCTATTCCATCGAGACAGGCGAGAAAAAATCTGGAAATTTTGAATGCGTGCCACTGCAATTACGTCTTTGAAAGTTAGTTTCAAATCTGTAAATTTGCAGCAGCCACTGAATTTTGAGTAATATTCTCTTCACCTTTCTCCTAGATGGGAATCTAAACACGGATGGCGAACTTGGTTTTGAAACATATTGTAGCCAATTTCCCGTTTTCATTTCCTCCCAAATTGTCCAAAACTCCAACATGAGATCTACACATGCTTGCATTCAAATTCCTGTAATTTTCACCATAAAGCTTATAAATTTCTCAACTCATGAGATGTTGTATCTGAAAGCTTGCTCTATCATATAGCACATTTTCTAAGCGATAGGATCTATCTTCATGAAAAAATGGGACAAAATTTATGATGAGCGCCTGCGTACCTCGGCAGTGGCAATCGCCAAGAGTTTAAAGGCTTCCGTTATCAAGGAAAGATGCTGTCACGA